CAGTTTCAGACTTTGGAGCATTTTAGATTTTCAGATTAGGGATGACGAACCTATACTCACATAGAATTCTCTTACATGCTATGATATGGATGAACCTAAAAAACATTGCTTTGAGCAAAAGTCAAAAGCAAAAGACCACATACTGTATGGTTCCATCTATAGGAAATGTCTACAATAGACAATTCATATAGACACAGAAAGTAGAACAGTGGTTGCCAGGGGCTGGGACAGAGTGAAATGGAGGAGTGACTGCTAATGAGTATGCAGTTTCTTTTCAGAGAAGTGAAAATATTCTGGAATTAGATAGTGGTGATGGTCACACTATGTTGTGAATATAATAGAAACCACTGAATTGTATACTTTCCAATAGTCAATTTAAGTTATATGAATACATTTCAATTTTTTTAATGTTTAAAAACTGGTTTACAAATTGGTGCTTAAAACTGAAATTTCTTTTCCTTTTAGACTTGTCTGAGTTACTGAAAATAGGGTGCTGAAAGAACTAAATAAAAGGCGAAGTGAAAGTACATTATTAGGAACACTAAGCAGAGTCTAGGTTCACGTCATCTGCACTGAGATACCTGTATGGGTGGTGGTGTGGATCACATACCTGCAGGGCTTCCCCTTCCAGTCTCAACTTAAGAAATAGTGATTAAATTTCCCAAGGTGAGTCAAAAAGGTTGTTTTAAGTCTTATCTCCTTCTCCACCTGCAAAGTACACCATGGTCTAAAAGTATCAACCTTCTCTCTCCCCATTCTCTACTCTTTCCATACAGCCGATCTCAGTGGAGAAAGAAAGCAATTTATTTAGGTAAATCATAAAAAATGTGAATGATTTATACCTGTACACATGATCCCCTCCCTTCAACTCCTCCACTGCTCTAGCGCCACAGATAAGTATTATTTGGGGGATATTAAAAATCAAAGTTTAGGGGTAGGCACTGTACCACAGTGGGTTAAGCTTCCAATTGGGACAATGCGTCCTATGTCAGAGTGGCATCTGAGGCACAGCTACCTTGCACTCCCAATCCTGCTTCCTGCACATGATTTCCCAGGTACCTGGATTCCTAACACCCTCATGGGAGACCCACCCAATGGAGTTCCAGGCTCCGAACTGACCTAGCAGGCACGAGGAGATTGTACAAGATGGAAGATCTGTCTCTCTGACACTGAGGCTTTCAAAAGACAAATCTTTGAAACAAAAATCAAAGCTGAGAGGTAGATGTCTGGCCTAACGATTAAGACGGCCACGTCCCACATGGCAATTTCTGGGCTCCATACCCAGCCTGATTCAAGCTTCCAGCTAATGCAGACCTTTGGAGGCAGCCATGATTGCTCAAGTAATAGGATTCCTGCCAACCATGAGGGACACAGGAGTTCCAGCTTCCAGCTGCATCTCAGACCATTTTCAGTCCCCACCATTGTAGGCATCTGGGAGTGAACTAACAACAGATGAAATAGATCTCTCTCTCTCCTTCTTAAAGAAATATATATTTTTTAAAATCAAAGTTTAGGGGCAGCATTGAAGTACAGTGAGTTAAGCCACTGTTTGTGATGCCCAAATGCATACTGGAATGCCTGGTTCAATTACGATTTCCTGCTAATGTAACTGGAAAGTAGCAGGTGATGTCCCAAGTACTTGAGTTTCTACTACCCATGTGGGTTTCTTGGATAGTATTCCTGGGTCCCGGCTTCAGCCTGGACTAGCCTAGGCTGATATGTGCATTTTAGGAACAAACCAGTGGATAGAAGATATCTCTGTCTTTCCTCTTGCTCTGTCACTGTCATCAAATAAATATTTTTTTAAAGCTTAAAAATACAATTTAAAACATATAGGGCTGGGGCCAGCACTGTAGTGTAGGGGGTGAAGCTGCTGCGTGCAGTGCTGGCATCCCATATGGCGCCGGTTCAAGTCCTGGCTGCTCCACTTCCTATCTAGCTCTCTGCTATGGCCTAGGAAAGCAGTCAAAGATGGCGCAAGTCCTTGGGCCCCTGAACCCACATGGGAGCCCCAGAGGAAGCTCCTGGCTCCTGGCTTCAGATTGGTGCAGCCATTGCGGCTTCTGGTGAGTGAACCAGCAGATGAAAGACTTCTCTCTCTCTACCTCTGAGTCTCTATAACTCTGACTTTTAAATAAATAAATAAATCTTCAAAGTAAGAAAAACAGGGCCAGGAAATGTTGTCTGGGAGTTGAGGTCTTAGAGCAAGAATACCACCAAATCAGTCTGACACTGAATGGTAGTATGCCTTAGACTCTGCTTCTGGGGTCATTCCTGCTTTTTCTAGCATCAAACATTCTAGTACTCAAACACACACTTACAAACTTCACACCTATGGTGCTTGCCATAGGTTAGGGGTTAGGATCCAGAAGGCTTATTTTCAAAGTGATTTTTATGTGCACTCAAGTTTGAGATCACTGTAAGAAGGAACCTGCAGCCACTTAAGGCACAGGTAATATGCAAGACAGAAACCCCCTGTTTTATGATATGATCATCCCCACTGAGATATTTACTAATCACAACTAGTAGAAGAGTGGTTTTCTTTTCATCACACCAAAGAAAATGGTGGAGAAAAATTGTTTCTATTCTTTATTTGTTCCATGCTTGAATAAAAAAGATTGATTTTTAGTTAATAAGGACTTTGATGGGTATATCCCTCACTAATCAAGCACAAAAACTGATGTCATGAGAAATTTCAAGCATCACTATGCAAATGTAGCATAAGCTGTCACAAGGCAGGATGGCTTTCGCTAGCACAGGTTAATGGCTTTCAGAATGGGATCTTGGCTTTTCTCCCTAAGCCCTCTCCATTTCACCAACCTACAGGTTAACTGATCCAAATGAACTCTATTGGGGCCAGCGCTGTGGCATAGTGGGCTAAGCGCTGTCTGCAACACTGGCATCCCATATGGGCGTCAGCTCCTGTCCCGGCTGCTCCTCTTCCAATCCAGCTCTCTGCTATGGGCTGGGATAGCAGTGCAAGATGGCCCAAGTGCTTGGGCCCCTATGCTTCACCATGGGAGGAGACCCAGAAGAGGCTCCTGGCTTAGGATCCACCCAGCTCCAGCTGTTGGGGCCATCTGGGGAGTGAACCAGCAGATGGAAGGCCATTCTCTTTCTCTCCCTGTAACTACCTCTCAAATAAATAAATAAAATCTTTAAAAAAAAAAAGGAATTAACTATTTTGTGTAGGAAAAATCCTTGCTTTTGAACTATTTATGCTGACATACTATAGCCCTCATTCTTTTACTGCTTCATGCTGAGAAAGGACCGAGACTCCCTTAAAAGCATATGCAATGTTTCTGGTCACCAGCTAAGCAGCACTTTCAAATTACTCCCAAAGATTTAACTTATCATTGTCTCTCTAACACTATTTACAAGAACAGAGCAGTTTTATTGATTGTAGTCCTAGTGCATTAGGACATTATCCAGTCACAGTGAGCAACAGTCACTCATTTAAAATATTTACAGGGCACCTACCACATACCCCAAACTTAACAAAATATGTTCAATAAAAATACTGCTCCTGGGCCAGCGCCGTGGCTCACTTGGTTAATCCTCTGCCTGCAGTGCCGGCATCCCATATGGGTGCCAGGTTCTAGTCCTGGTTGCTCCTCTTCCAGCTCTCTGCTATGGCCCGGGAAGGCAGTGGAGGATGGCCCAAGTGCTTGGGCACCTGCACCCGCATGGGAGACCAGGAGAGGCACCTGGCTCCTGGCTTCAGATCGGCACAGTTATGACCGTAGCGGCCATTTGGGGAATGAACCAACAGAACGAAGACCTTTCTCTCTGTCTCTCTCTCTCTCTGTCTATAACTCTACCTGTCAAATAAAAAAAAAATACTGCTCCTAAGTTACTGTACTTGATTCAGTCTCCAATCACAACAATACTGAGTGTGACAAACGCCAGACTATGTAGCCAAAGCACTGAGCAGAACCTGGACCAATCCTACCCAAGAAATGTGCCTCTAAAATAATTTATATTGCTTAACTATTTAAAAAAAGATGCAAAAAAAAAAAAAAGTCCAGGATCTCTAGGGCTTCCTAGGTACGCAGTGTTTTGCGTATCCTGACATGAACCCATCAAGTCCAGTCTTCAGCTCTGTGAATTTATCAGTTACCATACCGGTGAGTTTACTGCTCAGTTTTTCACAGGTGTTCCATCTACAGGAGGCCGGGACATGGCGGTTACACTCCTTCTCTTAGTATTTACCCTGTGTTTTCATTTTGTAACAAGATGTAGCAAAGCAACCCGTGGAAAACGTCGGGGAACCCGTCCCCGTCCCTAGTAAGAAATAAAGGTATTTAAAACCCACGTACTAAGTACATCTTTACGAGGCATCTCCGTACACTCCAATATGCTTCCTTCTCAGTCACGAAAAGCAACAAAGAAAACGAAGCCAATACTTCTCTGTCTTTCTACAAATAACGTGCATTTCCTCAATATTTCTGCATATAAAAAATTAGGAGTTATCTGTGACAGCCAGCAGGAAAAAGGCCAGAAAACCTGATGCCCAATTTAGGTCACGATCACAAAACCGTGGAAGACCAAAAAAAAAAAAAAAAAAAAATTCACACCAGTCTCCGCAGAAAAATAGAATATTCCTCCCCAGCACCCCCCGGAACCCCAGGTGCGAGCGGGCCGGAGGGCTGGCTGGTCCGACCCCGCTCGGCGGTGCAGAAGCCCAGAGGGGTAGCAGGGCCGGGAAACACGCGGGCGCGCCCGCCGCCCGCGACCTCGCAGCCCCGGGCAGGGCGGCCCCCGCGCCGCCCGCCGCAACCCCCCGCCAGTCCGGTGCGGCCGCGAGAGAACCCAACACCCCTTGGCCGCCGCCCGCGGGCTCGGGTTCCGCCCGCCGGCCCCGCCGCGCCGCTCCGCCCCGCGCCGCCAGCCGGGCCCGGGGCTCTCCGCCCGGCGCAGCGCGGCCCCCGGCAAGGCCCTCCGCCCAGGCGCCCGCGGCCGCGGCCCTGGCCTGCGCGACCGCCGCCCTCCTCGCTCACCTGCGTCCCCACCACGACGATCTGAGGCAGCTGGATGATGTCGGCGCCCACCGTGTTGAAGACATCCTGGAGCTTGTTGATGACAGGAATCAGCGCCTCCATGACTCCGAAAACACCGGACCCCCGCCCGGCCGGCCGCGGCAATGAATGGGGACGGGGCCCAGCGTCCGCCTCCTTCCTCCTCTCCTCCGCCCTCTCCTCGGCAGCCGGCCCCCATTGGACCGGGCCCGCCCGCTCCCTGCCCCCTCCCGGCAGGACTTGCGCTCCGAGGGAGGCGGGGCAAGCAAGGGCTGCCGGGAGTTGAAGTTCGGGGGCGCCTCGGGCTCCCAGGAGGCCACGCGGCAGGGCGGGCCCGAGCGCGCAGGGGTGCTTGGGGCGGGGATTGTCGGTCTCCGGTCGGAAGGCGGAGGAGAGGGGCGGGGAGAGAAGGAGTAGGAGGAGCGTTGATGGCTGCTCCGCTGCTCGCGGCAGGTGAACACGCTGGGTGTGAGTGCGCGGCAGTGGCGTCCCGCCTACCCAGTGTCCTCGAGAGCAGGGCGGGTGGGGGAACCCCCTTGGCCGCAGGGGCGGTAGCTGGGGCGGCGGGTCTGCCTCGGGGCTCGCGCGGGCTGCAGCTCTGCCCGCCCCAGGGTGCGCGCGTCCCCCCGGGCATTGGTTCGGAACCGAACCTGAGCGTGTGGGAGTGCGGTGGGGGCAGGAGCGGGCTCTCGGCCTCTGAAGTGCGTGTAAAGCTGCGTTCGCCGTGGCCGCGTGGCCGGGGACGTCGAGGCTGGTGTCTGCCTCCCTCACTTCTGCTCCGGCTGTTCGTTCCTGAATGGTGCCTTTCTTTTCGGGCAGATGCCATGCCTTGCTGTGCGCCCGCCCTCGGGTGGGTTCCTGCCTCGTAAAGGTGACGTTTGGGCCGAGACACGAAGCAGGTGAGTTCACCCTGCGACGCAGGGCACAGGGGATGGCCCCTTTGTAAGTACACGCCTAGGGTGCTCTGAGGCCTCTGCACTCAGTTTCCAGGAGGTCAGGACACCCACCGTGGCTGAAGTTGTGCGCTGGGCACTCCGCTGGGCGCCCACGTTGGCCCCGGGGAACATGCTCGATGGGTTCAGCAGCACAAATGCTAAGTGCGTAAGAAACCGCTTCGAACGAGTGAACGAAATTTGAGATACAGTAAGACCTTGTCTCCGCCTGTTTGCAATCTCTGATACACGGTACTGCAGGTGGGCTTCAGATGGCACAGAGCATCGTACGGCCGGGCGGAGCTGGGGAGAGACCTGGCCAGGCTGGCTCGATAGCGAGGCTGTTAGTCCATGGATCCATCAGTCACATAAACAGATTAAACCGCTCGTGAGGGTGGAGCCAGTCACCTGCTAGTCACCTGTTGCACGTCTTGATATCTCAGAATGAGGATTACATTTCAGCATAAGGTTTGGAGGGGACAAACCATATGTAAACTGTCTCAGGCCTGAAGATCTACTTCAGTGGTGTTCGGGCATCTGCTGACGTTCTGTGAACCTTCCCTTCGGTTCTTAGGAAAAGCAAGAATTTGGGCCAGGTGTTCGTCATGAGTACCCACATCGTGTTTGGAATACCTGGGTTGCAGCCTCGACTCCATTTCTTTTCAGCGTCTTAATGTGCACCCATGGGAGGCTTAATTAGATTTTTAATTGGATTCTTGCCAGCCGCGTGAAAGACCAGGACTGAATTTTTGACTACTGATTTCCACCAGGCCCACGCCCAGCTGAGTGGGCTTTGAGAAGCCAACATGCTTCCCAAGGAAACTGTCTCTCTCTGTGTCTCTGCCTTTGAAGTAAGTGAAATGTGTATGTTAATATATACATTAAAATTGAGAGCTCAGGTAGACCGTGTGGCACAGTTAAGCCACTGTTGGGAACACTCGTATCCTTTATCAGAGTGCTGGGTGAGTCCCTGCTGCTCCACTTCCGGTCCAGCTTCCTGCTGATGCTTCCTGAGATGCAGCAAAGGATGGCTTGGTGCTTTGGCCCCTGCACCCACATGGGAGACTGACATGGAGTTCTGAGCTCCTGGCCCAGCCCTGGCTGATGAAGGCATTTGGAAAGTGACCCAGTGGATGAAACGTCTCTTTCTGTCATTTTGCCTTTCAAGTAAATGAAAATAAATAAAAGCTTACTTTTTTTTTTTTTTTGACATGCAGAATTAGTGAGAGAGAGACAGAAAGGTCTTCCTTCCATTGGTTCACTCCCCAAATGACCACTACGGCCAGCGCGCTGCACTGATCTGAAGCCAGGAGCCAGGTGCTTCCTCCTGGTCTGCCATGCGGGTGCAGGGCCCTAGTGCATCCTCCACTGCCTTCCCGGGCCACAGCAGAGAGCTGGACTGGAAGAGGAGCAACCGGGACAGAACCGGCGCCCCAACCGGGACTAGCACCCTGGGTATTGGCGCCATAGGCGGAGGATTAGCCTAGTGAGCCATGGCGCCGGCCAAAAGCTTATTTTTGAAACTTAAAAATCCAGGCCAGGGGGCCGGAGCCATGGCTCACATGGTTAATCCTCCTCCTGCGGCGCCGGCATCCCATATGGGAGACCAGAAAGAAGCTCCTTGCTCATGACTTTGGGTCAGTTCGGCTCGGCCATTGCAACCATTTAGGGAGTGAACCAGCAGATGGAAGATACCTCTCTTTATGCCTCTGCCTCTCTGTACTCTGCCTTTGAAATAAATAAATCTTAAAAAAAAAAAAAAAAAAAAAAAAAAAAAAACTTAGAAATCCAGCATTAAAGTTAGACAAACATTTCAGCAGTCCAAAGAAGGGACAGCAAAGCATTTTGTTCCGACTTCGTTTATCTTCTATTAATGCTAATATTATATAATAGTATTACTAGTTCTGTTTCTCAGCCCTCTGTTGCTAGGACTTCTGTTCTTAAAGAGGAAACTAGGAGTTCTGTTCCTTCCAAGAAAAGGCAGACGGAGGGGATAGACCTTTAATGAAGCTTCGTGGGCTTAGACACGGGCTTTGAAGGTTGAGATGCCCTAAGGCAAAAATGAGCAACTACCAGTGTTGTCTCTTATTTGTGGCACTAGCAGCCGTTTCTACTTGGTAGTGGCAAAATTAGCAGAACAGGCATGCATGTATTTCAGAAGGCAAAATGTCATGGATTTTGCATGCATTGTATGTTTCGATTCACATTAGAAGTTATCTGTTGGGATAGACCATGCAGAGCCTTGTATTCACATGTGATTTTTTTTTAAAGGAGAAGAGATCTCATCCTGGCTATCGCTCAAAAGTCGTGCTGTCGCTACCACCGCCCATCACTTTAAACAAGATTTCCAGAGCTGTGTAGGTTCTAGAGGACTGAGTTAATCAGGCACAGAGAATAAGAAACAGGAAGGGATGAGGCCTTGAAAAAGACTGGCTATAATTTGATAGCAGTTGTTTTTCCACATAAGGGAGGATACTCTGTGTGCAATTTATTTCACTGGAGGAAACATAGAAAATCAATTTGGGGTTTTGCATTTTGAGTTCCGAACACTCCTGCTTATAGAAAAGCATTTAGTCTGTGAGTGTTTCTTTTCTTGTCTAAAGTAGGATGATGTGTTCTTCAGTGGGTAGTTGTGGAATCTCATTACGCCATTATCACATGTGGTCTCAAAAGACCTTTTTAAAAGATTTTTTTTGTTTATTTATTTGACAGGTAGATTTACAGACAGTGAGAGGGAGAGACAGAGAGAAAGGTCTTCCCTCTGTTGGTTCACCCCGCAAATGGCCGCTACAGCCAGAGCTACGCTGATCCGAAGCCAGGAGCTTCTTCCTGGTCTCCCACGCGGGTGCAGGTGCCCAAGGACTTGGGCCATCCTCCACTGCCTTCCCGGGCCACAGCAGAGAGCTGGACTGGAAGAGGAGCAACTGGGACTAGAACCAGTGCCCACATGGGATTCCGGCGCCGCAGGCAGAGGATTAGCCAAGTGAGCCATGGTGCTGGCCCAAAAAGACCTTTTTTTAAAATAAATATTTTTTGAGAGGTACAGTTACAGAGAGGAAGAGACAGAAAAAGGTCTTCCATCAGCTGGTTCACTCCCCAAATGCCCACAACAGCCAGAGGTGGACCGATCTGAAGCCGGATCTTCTTCCCTGTCTCCCATGCAGGTGCAGGGATCCAAGCACTTGAGCCATTTTCTGTTGCTTTCCCAGGCCATAAGCAGAGAGCTGGATCGAAAGAAGAGCAGCCTGGACTCAAACCAGGGCCCATATGGGATGCTGATGCTGCAGGCAGGGGTTTAACCTACTACACAGCACTGGCCCCTCAAAAGACGTTTTTAAAACTTCTTCAGCTATCTCTCTCTGACCATATCTTTGTGATTTAGACAGTACTGTTACAGAAACCTGGGATGAGAAAAACCTGGGGTAGTTCAAACAGGCACCAGAGACAGTGGAGGATCCAAGCAGTTTATTAATGCCAGTGGGCTCAGCTGGAATCATTTCCTGAGACCTGAGCAACAATGCCAAGTTTCTTAAATGTGTGGGTCATCAGCATTATACCTTAGCCATTGTAGCACTGGTGGGTTTAGATTGCAGCCTGCATGACTTAGGACCACACTTCCAATGGTTAGTAGGTTTGGTATGTTTGTAAAAGAGATAGCAGGGGCAGATTTATTAGCATGGATTTATGACTGGAGTTTACACAAGCAGAATTTAGGGTCTCTTCCCTCCATAAACAGGATAATAGTAGGCACTGTTGAACTAGTTATCTGGGAACAGCCACTTTCCAAGGTTGGTGTTGGGAGGGGGATCTGCTTTTCTGTTTTGTCTCTGATTGTAGCCGTATTTCCTCTACAGTGTGGCTTCCTTGCAAATGACAAAATGTTGCACAAACTCACTGGCCTCAAAAAATTGACTGGAGGGCCAGCGCTGCGGCTCACTCGGTTAATCCTCCGCCTGCGGTGCTGGCATCCCATATAGGTGCTAGGTTGTAGTCCCAGTTGCTCCTCTTCCAGTCCAGCTCTCTGCTGTGGCCCGGGAAGGCAGTGGAGGATGGCCCAAGTGCTTGGGCCCTGCACCAGCATGGGAGACCAGGAGAAGCACCTGGCTCCTGGCTTCAGATCGGCGCAGCGCCGGCTGTAGTGACCATTTGGGGGCTGAACCAATGGAAGGAAGACCTTTCTATCTATTTCACTGTATAACTCTGCCTGTCCAAAAAAAAAAAAAAAAAATTGACTGGAGCCAGTGTCTCAGTGCAAATGAGAAGTCCACCTCTTATTGCTGCTCCTCTGTTGTCTGTTTCATTCTCAGACAAGTTTATTCCTGGGAGGTGCAGGCTTTTGGGGCACACTGGGCTGAGCAGGTGCAGGGAGGAGCAGCACTCAGATTTCCACCGTGTTTCCGTAGTGTATTAGTTCGCTGTTGCTGCCTTTACAAATCACAACAATCTTAGGGGCTTAAACCAACAAAGATGCACCATCTAGTTCTGCAGCTCACAATTCTGCTGTGGGTCTTGGTGAACTAAAATCAAGGTTTTGTCAGGACCGCACACCCTTCTCCAACCTCTGTAGGAGAAGCCATCTCCTTGCCTTTTCCAGATTGTGCAGTCGGCTCATGTTCCGTGCTGGGGATCTCATTCCCACATCTTGCTAACTTGTTGCATTTCTGCCCTCAGACCACCACCAGCAAATTTTTTTTTTTTTTTTTTTGGACAGGTTGAGTTAGAGAGAAAGGTCTTCCTTCCATTGGTTCACCCCAAAAATGGCCGCTATGGCCTGTGCGCTGTGCCGATCTGAAGCCAGGAGCCACATGCTTCCTCCTCCAGGGCCCAAGCACTTGGGCCATCGTCCACTGCCTTCCTGGGCCACAGCAGAGAGCTGGACTGGAAGAGGAGCAGCCAGGAAAGAACCGGCACCACAACCGGGACTAGAACCCGGAGTACTGGTGCCGCAGGTGGAGGATTAGCCTAGTGAGCCACGGCGCCAGCCAGGGCCTCTGCTTTTAAGAGCCATGGTTAGATCCGTTGGTTTGGTGGTCTAGTGAGTGAAGCCGCCACTTGGGACGCTGGCACCGCTGGTTTGAGTCCTGGCCACTCTGCTTTCTGTCCAGCTCCCTGCTAATGTTCCAAGGAAGACAGCAGATGATGGCCCAGATATTTGAGTCCCTGCCACTAAAATGGATGACCTGGATGGAATTCCTAGCTCCGGACTTCAGCGTGGCTCAGCCCTTACTGTTTCAGCCCCTTGGAGATCAAACCAGCAAATAGAAAAGTCTCTGACTTTCAAATAAATAAATATTTTTAAAAAATAAGATTTTGGGCAACCCAAGCTAATCTCCCCACCTCAGGGTCTGTGTCCTTAATTGCATCAGCAGAGGGCCTTTAGCCAGGTGAAATTCACAAATTCCAGGATTAGGACATGGATTTCTTAAGGGACCATCCTTCTGCTCACCACATCGGGTGAAGGTGCCTGTTGTAGGGGTGGGCCTGACCCAAGCACCACTGTTGGACTGCTTCCCCAAGAGCTTTCTAACAAGCTTGAAACAAAATGTTTGTCCCTTTGGTTGTGGAACAGTAAGAATATGAGTCACTCTCTGCAGAGGTCATGTTTCCTTCCACGTGGGATAAAGTGATTTGAGAGAATAATGTCCTTTATTCGCATTTTTAAAAATTCCTGGAGGCATTTGGCATAGCACTTTAGTTGCCCCTTGGAATGCCCACATCCTGTATCAGAGTGCTTGGTTTGAGTCTTGACTACACAGCTTGCTACTGATACTGGAGGCAGCAAGTGATAGCTCAAGTACTTGGGTTCCTGCCACACACACAGGAGACCAGGATTGAGTTCCAGACTCCTGGC